TATTATATTTGTTAAACCAATCGACTAGGTTTTGTTTTATCGTCTCAATATTCGATTCTTTATTCTCAATATTTGATTCTTTATCAACGTTGGGCTCAATTATATCGTTAACAGAAGTATTTATTTTTTCTCTTAACTTATCAGTGACTTTTTTATATTTATCATTTTCTGAGCTAATTTTTTTTGTAGGTGTTACTTTTTGAGATGATAGAAGAGTTTGATCATCCTTTAAAGTACCAAATATGTTTTTCGCTTTACTAACACAAAGTTCAATGAGTTCTTTGTAGGGTTTCAACAATTCACAATTTTGCAGCTCGAATATCAGTTTTAAATATATTCTATGCTCGTTATTTGATGATTTTAAGATGTTCTCATAACCAAAAATTCTTTCTAATATTGAATTGATATGAATCCAGACTTCCTCAGAATCTTTGTCGTTAAATTTATTTAAAATTTGACTTAATAAACTCAGTTGCTCTTCAAAGTCTTCGTCGTTAAATTCATTTAATGATGAACTTGGTTCATTATTCTAAATTTTGAGAAAAAATTAAACCAAGTTTACATTTTAACTTATAATTTATATTAAGAGATTTAATACCTTTAAGATTGAGGTCCCATATTCACGTGAATGGTCATGATCAAAATATTTGTTGTTAAATTCATTTAATGACTCTTCAGGGTCTTTGTCGTTAAATTCATTTAATGATAAAGTTGATTTTTTATACTAAATTTCAAGAAAAAATTAAACCAAGTTTATATTTTAACTTATAATTTATATTAAGAGATTTAATACCTTTAAGAATGTAGTCCCATATTCATTTGAAGAATTTTCGGCATTTTTACTATTTAAGCAGTCAGAAATATGAATTTTCTAATAATAATTTTTATTAATAAAAACCCATTTTTAATAATAATTTTAAGCATAAAAAATACCGTTTTTGAGCCATAAATAGTGATTTTATAAGCATCTCTTAGATGTTTAATTTCAATTTCTTTTTTCTAAATTTATAAAAAAAATGAATTAGCAAATCTACTCTTTGCTATTAATATTGTGTAACTTATTACCTCTATTTAATTTAAAATTTCTGATTGTTTCACATATTTCTTTAGTTCAAATTTATGTTTGATACGTTGATTTCATAATTTTTTCCCTTTGATGTTTATATAGACCGTAATAGTTCCATTAATAAAAGTAATACTTTCGAGCCCAATACATAAACCTTTTAATAATGCAGCGTAGTAATAAAATTCCTGTAGTAGTTCTATTTTATAATATTCAAAGAAAAATATAACAGTGTGAAAAAAAGTAAACAATAAACATGATCATCAGATTTTGTATATCACTCAATTATGTAGAGTTGGGTATGATAAATCAACTTGATCAATAAATTAATAGCTTTTATCTACTTAAAATGAAACTAGAGACCTCTCTTGCTCACCTTTAAAGCTTATAAAACTCACATATACTCATTTATAAATAACCCTAACCCTAAACCCTAACCCTAATGCTAAATAAAACCTCCAAAAATATCCCCTAAAAAATTTTAAATTTTGCTTAAACAACACTAAAAATCAAATTGGTGGATATGACAGAATTTTAACAAAAATTTTCTATCATAGTTAATACTTGTTTTAAAGTTATATTAAACATTTGATATATCAAAACTTTATTAGTTGCATATTTTTTTGAAAAATCATAACTTTTGAATTACTTTTTTTATTGACAAATTTTTGTTTGTTACTCGTGAAAATAAGTAAATTGGCATTTAAAATTAACGAATTAACAAAAAACTTACTATTAATATAATAAAATATTCAGGATAGTGAAAATAAGAGAAAAGAGTGCACTCTTCAAAGAATAATTCTTTTTTTTAAGACGTTCGATCTCGAGATAATACATTCGATCTTACTTTCAAGTTGATCAAAATTGGTTGTCATGTTTAAAGATTTCAGATAACTCTTGATTTGAATTTAGCAGTTTTCTTTATATATAGCCACGGTACCACAGTTTAGAAGTACTTTATATAGATAATTGAAGTTATACAAGCTATATATAAAAAAAATGCAATTTGTGACTTAAGATATCTAAAATTTATATTACTTTAGTTCATTATATGAAGTAATTGCTGTAGAGATATGATCCAAAACTATAACTATTGTAGTTAGAATTTATAACAAAAATTTTAGTTAATTAGCAGCTTTACAAGTGATAATTTTTGTAAAAATAACTCAAATAAAGCTTAATCAAATTTAGCAGAAATTTTAATAATTTTGATAATAAAAGTCTGTTGATTTCAGAAAGGTTATTAATTGAATATAATGATCAAGTAACGTAACTAAAGAAAAGTGCGTCTTATTGTCAGCCGAATGATTCTGAATTTACATTATAGTGACTCTGTTTTAAGATATTTTTTTAAATGAGATTAAATGGAAAAAGGTAAATTCGAAAAGTTAATTATAAATATTTTCAGCCTGTTATTATTAAATTTTTTTTAAATATAATCTTATATTTATTCATTATTTGCTATACTTTTTTTTTAGTATAATTACTATAGCATGGATATGTTTATATATAAAATTCATTTTTCTCAAATCATTAAATGAAAAGTTCTAGCGATTTATGTTGTTTTGACTTCATAAATCTGACCAATAGAAAAATTTATAATTTAATTACCAATATGGTAATTAGGGTTTAGGCTATGGAAAAAAAATTAGGCATGCCTATAGGGGAATACCTTGTGCTAAAGCATGTACCTCATGCCTATGGGCATGCTCTTTCTAAATCATGTGACTAACATATAGTTGCAACATGCTAAAAACTTCATATAGAGTGTTAGTAGAAACCAAGCAAATTATTTCTAAGTAAATTTTTTTAACATTAAGTTAAAATATCTAAACAACTATTAAACCATACTTGATAAAAATTTTTTATTTGTTGTTTAGATACTTTAACTTAATGTTTAAAAAATTTATTTAAAAACAATTTGCTTGGTTTCTATTGACACCTTCCATATATTGATTTAGTATCTAACCTTATTAACCAATTAAAATATTCTTTATAAATTACATGATAAGGGCATGCCCTTTGGCCTTGAGGCATGCCCATAGACATGCCCTAGGGGCATGCTCTTAGGGGCATACCTCGTGCCCCTGTGCCCTAAACTCTAATGTTAATATATGTTGTTTTTAATCTGACCAATGAAAAAATTTATAATTTATTTGACCAATATAGTAATTTACGAAACTTTTGTTCTGTCGATTGATTTCAAGTTTCTTTTGAAATTAAATATATAGAAAAAAACTTGATTAGATCAATAAATTGGCTAAGAATGAAGTGAAAAACAAAAAAAAATAATACTATACTATTATATTGTAATTTTTGAAAAGTTTGAACACAAAAGTTATGCATATTTAATTTAATCAGCAAAATTTCTATTAATATCAAGGATAAAAGATTTTGAACCAAAAATTTATTTCAATTTAAATCATCAAATGATTATTAACCAAGCTCTACATTTTTTTATCATAATAATCAGTGAAATTTCTATTAACATCAAGAATCAAAGATTTTTTTGTTTGAATATGTAAATTTTTTGAAGAAGGGCATTCACAAATTATGTCCTGTGATACTCTATTCAGTGGAAATGATTTATACTTTGGCTTATAACTGTAATTAGGATATACAATATTATGAACTTGTTTCGTGCAATCTGCTAATAATTCGTAAAGTTGCTTAACCTCATTACTTTCTTTTACCCAATTTTTGGCTGCTTCTTTTGAAATAAATTTAAAATTGCTTGTTGCATCTTTTCTTTTATTAATAATTGCATTTAAGTTTCTCTGGTATAATATAAACTATTTTGAGGTTTTGGAATATGCTTTCTTCTTCGACTTTTACTTGGTGCAATAAGTTGATGAAGCGGTAAACTAAAGTTTCATTAATTTTTTCCAGTGTCGACTGATCAATATTTCTGATGACGAGTTTTAGAATGCTTTCTTCGAAATGATTAAAAAACATTTTTAAAATTAAAAATTCATAGTAGTTATTATTATTGAAGAAAGGATTTTTTAAGTTTAATACTAATTAAAATTTAAGAAACAATATGCTAAAAAATTAAACCTTGTTTATTAAATTTTAATTGAACGATTTGAATTCAACAATACAGAATTCTTTGTATACTATTAATAAATAATCGCACAAATTATGTAGTTATCGCTTGATAACGGCTTGTATTTTTAACTATAATAAAAACTGATTAATCAATAGAGAGCCTACGTGGCTTTAATTAGATCAAATATTGAGAATAAAGAATCGAATATTGAGACGATAAAACAAAACCTAGTCGATTGGTTTAACAAATATAATA